CTATTTTTAAATAAAATACTTACCTCTTTATCATCTTATATAGTTCTTCATTCTCAAAATTTTTAGTTTTGAAGTCTATATTACTACAGTTGTATCGTTTCGAAGGAAAATTGTCGGATGTTTAACAAAAAAATTATCAAAGCACTCTTCTAAGAATCAATATCAATATCAATTTGCTTACTTCTTTTCCATTTTAGATGTCTAGAAGATTATTTTTTATACAACATGTCCAACCCCAAACAATTACACAAATATAGACAAAAAACTAAATTATAATATATGATTCAAATTATGAGTCTTTAATGAGTAAATGACAATGAAATGACACAATAATACCTAATTATTTATTTTTAAACCTTCATCTTGAAATCTTAATTTTTTGTAATGGAAGAAAAAAATTAATAATAATGACACATCATCAAAAAATTTACAATGACTAACAAATAATTTTTTTAATTAATTTAATTTTAAGATTCTAACAAAATGTAAAATATCATGATTAAGAGAATCAATGAATTATATATATAAAGATATAGAAAGAAATTCTAAGAATAACCTTATTATTAACAATAAGAGAAATTAAAAGAAATAAGTCAATACTATACTACATTATATATCGTACTTTTTTCTTTATATTTAATATCACTAATTTACTTTCTTAAAATTATAAGTAGATTTTTATTAACATCACATATGAATCTATTAAATGTTGTTGATTAATTAATTTATTTATAATAGTTTTTTATATAATTTAATTATGTAATTTTTTTTTTATATTTATACAAATTAAAAAAAAAATTGGCATCCCTCTAAAAAAATAAAGTCTTGAACGGTCTTTCACCTTAACCGTGTTCATAACCACCCATGTAGTTGATCAAATTAATTGTGGTGAATTATTCTTTCCATTTTTTCAAAATGGACAATTTCAATAAAGCAAGTTTGCAGTGGTCTTCCATGAGGATTTGGTTGAGTACTGTGAAAGCATCTTTATCAGCCTGCAATTAAAGATGAGTTATATATATATATATATTGTTTTCTTTCACATTAAATTTGAGTATACGTGTAACAAGTCCCATATCGGGGAGGTCTCCTCACCAAGGAGGCTCTATAAGGCGGGAGGTTCTCCAACCTCTTGGGCCGGCTTTTGAGGAATGGTTCCCCTCCTTAGCCTTATGCTCGTTACAATGGTTCTTTCATTGAGAGTCAGCCAAATCGAGAAGGGCTACCCACGGAGGGTTCTGACCATCGGAGGGTTCTGACCGGCAAAAAGGCCGAGTGAAGTGCCGGTGAGTGAAGTACCGTGGAGTGCAGCCATCGAGGACGCTGGCTTTCGAAGGGGGTGGTAATGTAACAAGTCCCACATCGGGGAGGTCTCCTCACCAAGGAGGCTTTATAAGGCGGGAGGTTCTCCAACCTCTTGGGCCGGCTTTTGAGGGATGGTTCCCCTCCTTAGCCTTATGCTCGTTACAATGGTGCTTTCATTGAGAGCCAGCCAAATCGAGAAGGGTTACCCACGGAGGGTTCTGACTGGCAAGAAGGCCGAGTGAAGTGCCGGTGAGTGAAGTACCGTGGAGTGCAGCCATCGAAGACGCTGGCTTTCGAAGGGGGCGGTAATGTAACAAGTCCCACATAGGGGAGGTCTCCTCACCAACGAGGCTTTATAAGGTAGGAGGTTCTCCAACCTCTTGGGCCGGCTTTTGAGGGATGGTTCCCCTCCTTAGCCTTATGCTCGTTACAATGGTGCTTTCATTGAGAGCCAGCCAAATCGAGAAGGGCTACCCACGGAGGGTTCTGACCATCGGAGGGTTCTGACCGGCAAGAAGGCCGAGTGAAGTGCCGGTGAGTGAAGTACCGTGGAGTGCAGCCATCGAAGACGCTGGCTTTCGAAGGGGGTGGTAATGTAACAAGTCCCACATCGGGGAGGTCTCCTCACCAAGGAGGCTTTATAAGGCGGGAGGTTCTCCAACCTCTTGGGCCGGCTTTTGAGGGATGGTTCCCCTCCTTAGCCTTATGCTCGTTACAATGGTGCTCTCGTCGAAAGCCAGCCAAATCAAGAAGGGCTACTCACGGAGGGTTCTGACCAGCAAGAAGGCAGAGTGAAGTGCCAGTGAGTGAATATGGTTTTTAGGTGATCTTGTACAATATGGTTTTTAGTTTTAGTTTTATATAATATGTAATTAATATATTTTTTTAAGTTAAAAAATTTAAATACATACCAAGTAGTAGTAATTAATTAACTAAAACAATAAATATTTGATGATACTTCCTAATTAATAATTTATCGTGTGAGAGAAACATTTCATTTTCAGATATGAAACAATTTCTTGCTTAATTTCATGTGATTCCCACTAAAGATGCTCTCTCTAACAAAGAGCAAAGGGGTTATGAATTTGTATGAGACAAGAAAACTTACTATACAAAGTTTCCGACAGAAAATGTTCCTAATTAAGCTTAATAGCTATCCAATCCACAAGTTGCAGGTCCGTCGCCAAATTAATTTGACTTAATTAATATACCAGAGAAAAGGAGTCTCGCAATACCGAATAAAGTAACTAAGAATTTTTTGCATGAATTAATATGATTTAATTATAATAATATAAATTTATACTAAGAAGAATAATATATTTTAAATTAGTCGCAGTAACGAGGTACAAAAACAACAATTTCTGCCTTTAACATTTAACTTTTTATATATAATATTATCAGCCATAATTTTTAAAGTCCTATTTTTCACTTCCCCTCTCTCCTGTCTTTACACCATACCATCCATATTTATTTTGTCTCTGATCTCATCCCCAAAAGGGTGCAGTCTATTCTCAAGGGTTTCATAAGTCAATATTCTAACGTACGCCATCAGTGCCATATATTGACATATACATGCATACATATATGGAAAAAGATTGTTTCAGCCTCTTATGAGATGTATATACTCCTGGTTGAAGAAGACATTGAGTAAAGGAAAGGTTAACGTAAAAGAAAAATAATAGTTAAACACGTACACACTATTTTTTTTTTTTTTTTTTATCACAAAAGGACTTATACCGTATTATGCATATCTATATTTAATTATCAAGGAAGATATCAGGGCCGGATACAAGTAGAAAAGTAACGTGTAATTAACAATTTTCATATGTATAAAATTTTACACGAACATGTATTGCTATATATGGAGGAAGAAGCGTGAAGTACAAATTGTTATCCTGGTGTGTGTTATGTGTGTATATATATATCTTGACTCTTAAGCCTCTTTTTGTTCTTCTGTTTGAAGCAAGGAATGTTTATTTATATAAATATAATAAATTCCTTGTAGGTGTTAAACAGCAGCTCTTCTTTCTGCTAAAGTTAAAGTTTGTTTTAAGTTAATATTTAATAGTCGTTGATGCAGCAGTGGAAGCTTTTGACCAACCCTACCACTTACATTGTTAATGCTAAAATTAGTCTTTTTCTCAGCTATCTATTTGATTATCTAGATATAGTCCTTAGTGTCCATTCTTTAAATAAAGCCCTTTTTCTCGCTGATTCTGCACTAAAGAACTGCATGCATCAATAGAGATTTTTTCACAAAAAAAAGGTAAAGATATATATTAATTTATTAATAAATACTGGTTAGGACGTAAGCAACATGCATAAGCTTTACTTAAAAGAACAAACACAAAATTATTTGCTGCGAACCTAACTCGTAACCACTTTTAGTGTTTGGATCAACTATTTAAGGGAAAAAGTATATATATATCATGGTTTTAAATTATGGTCCGCAATTAGTCATAATATTATTGTTGTAGTGATCACTACAACCGTAACGGCCTGTAATTGTAGTGTGATTTTAAATCACTTAAAATTTTGTAATTTAACTGCAACACAATCATAATAAATCGATAACATCATTATATTCTATTTTTGTGTCAAAACATTTACATAAATTCAAGTTTTAATCTTCTATTCTAAAAAAACTGATCATATGAGATATTAAGAGGGAAAGAAAGACAACTAATGATAGTTAGTTGGAATTTTGGAATGTACTTAGTGTGTTTTAAGAAAGGGAAAAAAAGGTTTTGAGTAGAAAAAATAAAAAAAAATCTAATTATTTGTTTATCTTCATGCAAATATATAATAATTTTATATCGCAACAGTCACAATCCACATTGCAATAGAAGCAATAGTTACGATTGTAGTGACCATAATCACAACCAAAATTTAGAATCATGATATATATATATATTGATAAACTTATTTTCTACAATAACTCATATTTTATATAAAATTTTAATAATTTAGCTGTTAAATTAAAAAATTTTAATGTATAAATGAAGTCTATAAATTTTTACAAATTTTAAAAATTATTTAATATTTTATTTCATTAATTCAAATTAATAAATAATTATAAAAATATTTAATATGTTGATTTAAATCGTAAATGATTTCAAAAAAAACTTTTTGAAACTTAGGTATTTCAAAAAATTTAAATTATGGTGTGAGAGAAGTTTAAAGAATAACTACGGAGTAAAACTGTTTCACTCTATTATTCGATCCATTTGATTTTTACAAAATGGATTACTAGATTTAAATAGTGAACATTATTATTTGAGATGAGTTATTTAATTATATTTTTCTAAATATATTGTAATTATTTCAAGTACATTTATGTAAGAATGATATAAAATGCTGTCTTAATTTTAACCAATTATACAGTGTTACCCATGTATAACGCTTATGATAAAGAAACTCAATTACATCCAAAAGTTCCTTTTATTAACCAAATCTGAACGGAATTGAAAGTATTCCACAAATAGAATGGTTATTGGTTACCCACACTCGGCGCTGCTAAATTTAGAAATGTTCCTTTCAATCTTCAAGGAATGCCATTGTTATTTGGGCATGCACTTCTTTCTCTGAATAGCTCAAATCGATCACTATGCTGTGGACCTAAATTACTCGGTTTTAATTGGCATTGGCTCGCCAAGGCTCAAATAGACCCCAAGGCCTTGGCCATCTTTGCCTCCAAAATCAATTAAGTTTTAGAGTCTCAAGCAAAACAAAAAAAAGAAAAGAAAAAAAAAACTCCACATAAAAAAAGAAGAAGAAAGAAACAAAAAAGAAAAATTAGGAGGCATTGGAAAAAATAATGGCAGGAGGTGCAAGTAAGGTCATGTTCATCTTGTTGGTTGCTTTTGCCGTTACTATTCCAAGCCTTGATGCGCGCATTGGTGAGTTTGATGAACATCTGAAACAACAATCTGAGGAGGCTCACGAAATCGCTCTCGAGTCCTACGTGCCCGACCCTATAAACGTTACAGTGGACCTCAATATGCACGTTCATAGGTATAGCTAACTTACAAACTACTCCATTGTCAATTAATCCTACCAATAATTCAATAATAGATACGTTATGTTCCCATGCATGCATGGTGATGTAGGGCATTGATGGAGGAAGATGAAGCAAACAACACAAGGAGGGAACTAAAGGAGAAATACCGTGGGCCATGCATGGCGCTGAACCCAATCGATCGTTGTTGGAGGTGCAAGAAAAAGTGGGACAAAAACCGGTTCAAGTTGGCGAAATGCGCCAAGGGTTTCGGAAGAAGGGCGGTGGGAGGACTCGGCGGGAAGATCTACACCGTGACGGACCCCTCCGACGACGACATGGTGGAGCCGAAACGCGGGACTCTCCGTTACGGCGCCATCCAAAAGGGACCACTGTGGATCGTGTTCGCGCGAAGCATGGTCATAACACTGAAGCAGGAGCTGTTGGTCACCTCCGACAAAACCATCGACGGTCGCGGCGCCCATGTTTCCATCAAGGACGGCGCTGGCATCTCCTTGCAGTTTGTGAACAACGTCATCATTCATGGCCTCCACATCCACCATATCAAGGCCAAGGAAGGTGGCATGATTAGGGACTCGTGGAACCACGTCGGAATCAGAACCAAGAGCGACGGTGACGCCGTCTCCGTTTTTGGCTCTTCCAACATTTGGCTCGATCATCTTTCTTTGTCTGACTGCGAGGATGGTCTCATCGACGTCATCGCCGCTTCCACCGCCGTCACCATCTCAAATTGTCACATGACCAAACACAACGATGTAATTAATTTCTTCCTTATTTTGTTTCTAGGGTTAAGGAGATATTTAATTTCCTTCACAAAACTTAAAAGAGTATAAAGATAATGCTGATAACATGTGTGTGTACGTTAATATGGTGCATGGTTGCAGGTGATGCTGTTTGGAGCTAGCGATACCTTCTCTGAGGACAAGATAATGCAGATAACAGTGGCATTCAACCATTTTGGGCAGGGACTGATCCAAAGAATGCCGAGATGCAGATTTGGTTTCTTCCATGTGCTGAACAACGACTACACTCACTGGCTGATGTATGCAATTGGAGGGAGTTCAGGGCCAACGATTCTGAGCCAGGGAAACCGCTTCATTGCACCCAACAATGATGCTGCCAAGGAAATAACACACAGGGACTATGCACCCCCTGATGTGTGGAGCAAGTGGCAATGGAGATCAGAGAATGATCTCTTCATGAATGGTGCTACGTTCACTGAGTCAGGATCACCTATTGGGAAACTACCATTCAACAAAGGGTTCCTAATGAAACCTAGACATGGCTCAGAAGCCAATAGGCTCGCACGCTTTTCTGGGGCCCTCAATTGCAAGGCTGGTAAGCCTTGCTAGATGATTAATTAAGTTCATCACTTTTTTTTTCTCTTTTTCCTGATTTCTAATTGTCACATGCTTACTAATTAAGCAGACAATGACAAAGTAAAACTAAACTAAGTAGGAAATCCTCTATTGGTATAAACACTTCTGCTTTAGGGCTTAGAGGATGCATGTCTTCATGGACAATGCTATTATAATATTTCTTTTGTAAATACGTTAGAGGGAAAAATGTAGGGGTGATTTTGTGATCTAGCTAGGGTTTGAGAGCGAGGAAGGGAGGTTGCTGCTTGGGATTGAGGTAAGGGAAAAGGGTGGCAGAAAACATAGATCCATATCATTTAGAAAACATTTTTCTTTCTGTTTGTCTTTCAGTAATTCATATTCAATAATTCACTTGATATAGTTTGCCTTCGATTCCTAAAATATCTCTCTCTCTCTCTCTCTGCCAACTTTTGTTTCAAACAAATTTGAATTTTGGAGACTGAATTAAATATTATTGGATTATTCGCCCAAAAAACAGACAATATAAAATCAACATATAATCAACTGTTATTTATCATCATCCATAACAAACTATATTTTACTACGTATTTATTAAAATATATTGTACTACATATATAATCAACTGTTATATACACATATTTATTGTGATATCCATAAATCGTCTAGAGAAATAGGAATTTGCGTAGATCCTTTGATATATTAATAGAGAATAGGCACTTGAATTTAAAGCATCTTGTTTGAAATTAGTAAAGTTTCAATATATATAAATATAATATAAAAGTGATCAATTAGCATATAATAATTATGAATTAATTTTAATTTAATACATTTTTATTTGATAATAATGATTAATTGTACTAATTTTGTTAATATAACAATCAAGAGGATGTTAGTTAAAATAATAATTCACCCCTTGTGACATGTGGTTTTATTATGTTAAAACTTTATTTAAAATTCCAAGAAAAATGTTAGTGTAAGATAAGGAATAAAGTTCTATTTCAATTTTCACGTACCCACAAAAAATAAAGTCGAACAGTTGGTGTTTTGTTTTTATTTTTTTCACAATTGTACTTGTGGCCGCTATAATTTTTATATCCAACTTTTGGTTTTCTTTACTTCATCGTTCTTAGTGCGTTCTTCGTCTTCTAAAATTAAGCAATTTAAGTTTTTGCATTAGTTGATCATATATTAATTATCGGTTGACTATTAGTCGATTTAAATATGACATGTTAATTAATTATGGTATGAAAAGTGAATTTACGACTTAAAATTTTATTTTTATCCTTAATTTTGAAGTATAAAAAATGGTTTAGTGGATTAGTGTGACATCCACTATTCTATATATTAGAATATAAATAAATAAAATTGAATAAAAAAATCTATCATAAATAAAAATTTATCATATTCAATAAAGAGAGTATTATATTTAACAAAATAAAACTAATTGAAGTTCAATTGATAAAATCTAATACCATAGAAACAACAACTATTTTAAAACGTAACTAAAGAAATACAAATCTTAAATAAGCTCCGACGTTAATCATATCATATCAAAACATAAACTTAATTACAAGGATGAAGTTTCATAGTTAACATTCTTAACCTCGTGTTGTAAATCACCTCCTATAATATGTAATAGGAGTAACGTTGGACAATGGGAGTGAAAAACATTTTATTCTAATTTATGATATAGAATATAATCAAACACAAGTAATAATACAATAAACAAGTTCTTAATAACAACATAGTAATAAGAGTTATGGTAAAATAACAGATTTTAATACAATAAATAATACAATATATCCCCTCATTAACATCATAAGTTTAATACGTAAAATCATTCGCATGCACGACACAATGGATATGGACTACAATTACTCATGCATGTGATGCCAATAAATCGCGTGATGTATTTTTATATAACAACACACAAATTAAGTAGCTAGCTTAGGAGTTTATATTGAGTCACACACCTTTAACACATTCTACATTAGGAGGACATAGTCTATAAGTTAAGATAGCAAAGTTGCACATGTTTCACCTCATCATGTTCAAAATGGGAGAAATCAAAATTCCCCAAACCTAAGTGCTCTCAAGGATTAATATTCTCCAAACTTTTATATAAAATTTATTTTCTTAACAGTGTATTTCATATCATACTTTTTCAAAACAATTATAATATATATTATATTTCAAACTAATAAATATATAACTTATTTTTAGCAATATAGGTAATTAATAAAAGGAAGAAGACAAGAAAAGAATAAAAAAAAAGAGTGACAATGAGTCAATTTAAATGTGACATATTATTTATGACATGAAAAATGAATTTATGACTTAAAACTTTATTTTTGTCCCTAATTTTGAGGTGTCAAAAATGGAATAGTAGGTTGGACTTAAAAAAAAAAGTACTCCAAAAAATTTGGATCAATATAGTTCGGCCTAATGGATAACTAGTTTCTAGGCTTGAAACCTATGTACCTATTCCCTTTTTTCTTTGTTAAATTTAAATAAAAAATAAAATAAATAGTTTATTTGGTTTGACTTGATGGATTAGGCCATTTACAAAAATAAGTAACTCATCATAAAAAAATTCATGTTGAGTCGATATACATATGTATTAATCCATACTATGCAGATGATCAACCCATTTAACAATCAAACCCCTTTATAATTTTTTATGCTATTTTTATCCTTTTTTTTAATTGTATACCTTTATAATGTTTTAGGCTATTTTTTTCCCTTTTTTTAATTATTAAATTTTAATTCTTTAATTTTTAAAATTAAGGAAGTTTAGTCCGTTTATAGACTATTATTCAACTATTGTGCGAAATTAATTTTTTTAATATTTAATTTTTATCATTTTAATTTTAATTTTAAAAACTAATATAAATATTATAATATATCGAATAAATATTAGAGTATAAGTGATATTGTAGAAAAATGAGAAAAAAAATTAGGATAAAAAAAGGAGATCAAAGAGAAAATTAATTACATGTTTATATTTATTGTATATAAATATGTTAACAATAAGCTATATAATATATTTATTAAATATTTATTTATTTTATAATATAATGTTTCATTTTAGAATAGATTTTAAAAAAAATTGATTTGTTGTAAATATTAAATTAGAGGTTAAAAAAAAAGTATTTAATTTCAAAATAGCATAAAATATCTGACAAATAAATTATATAATTTAATAAATATATTTTTCATCTTTAGTTTTAATATTTTTTCATGCAATAAATATAAACATATAGTCAAATTTTTATTTCTTATTTTATCCCATTTTTTTCCTATTATTTTTCTACCTCATTACTATGCTTTATTATTTATTTAATATTATAATATTTATATGATCTTCTATTTTTTAAAATTAGAATAATAAAGACTAAGTATTGAATAAAAATTAAATTCGTACAATAATGTGAACTAAAATTAAAATTAACTCATTTAATAATGTTATTTATAACCTAGTATTTATATTATAAATTAAGTAAGTCAACTGACTTATATTTGCTTTAGTTCTTAAGAAAAGGAAAAGGTCTTGTGTTCTAACCTCACTTTTATTAATTTTACCATTTTGTAATAAAATTGCTTTATTTTAAACATTAGAAGAATAAAAAGGTTGTATGAATGGTTGTCTTATCAAACAATAAGTTCGTGTGAGTTAATAATTCTTTTCACTTATATATTAGTTTTGGTATATATATATATATATATATATAAGGAGTATATCAAGTAAGAAGGAATTTATTATGAAAGATAAGATGATTAAAATATAATTCTTAGATTAATTAAATGAGAGAAAATTTAGAGTTTAATCAAGTAAGAGAATATTAATCTAAGGATTATATTTTAACATTCTCATCTCTCATAATAAATTCCTTCTTACTTGATATGTTATATA